CCACCATGGCCGTCGGACGTGTCTCTACGGCTGTCTCTATCGCCGTCCTCCTGGTCGCTTTTTGGTACACGAGAGACGATGGACACCCGATTATACACGAAAATCTGCAGAGTATTTTGGACGCCATGTTAGAGGTGCGAATTTAATGGGTAGTTGTTTGTTTTATTATTTTTTTTGTTGTTGAAATGTTGAGGGTATGGGAGGTAATGATTATTATTGTTGTTGTTGTTTGTGTTTCGTCTTTATTTTTGTTTTGTTTATTGACTTGGTTTTATTAGTTTTTTTTAAATTTTATTTTCAGGTTTGAAGGTTTATTTTCATTTATTTGAGAAATGAGATGTAACAGGAAACAGGGACGTTGTTGTTATTACTATTATTTTTTGCAAATTTTATTTTCTATATCTATTAATTGCTGATTTTAGTTTTAATGTTCTAAGGCATATTAGGTTGTGCATATGGAAAATTTTCATTGTGATTTATTATTATTATTATTGTTTTTTTTGTAAAAATGAAGGAAAGGTGGCATGGGTAGGTTCTTGTTTTGTTTGTTTGTAATTTGAATATTTTTCTCAGTTAAATTTATTTTCAGAATCTAATTCAAATTTATGTTGGATATCAGACAAGAACAGGCTTAATGAATAAATAGAACGCAATGAAACTTTTTTTTAAGACAATGGATACGGTCAGCATATCCCAGTGACATAGTTTAGGCAAATAATGCTAATTATGATATTAAAAACTATGCATAGAGAAATTACATAGGATACTTTATTAAGTTGAATGTATCTTTTCTTAATCATCATATGTGTAAATGTTTTTTTTCTACATAGGAGTTTTGTGTCAGGCAGGTCATTTTATATAATTATTGGTTTATACTCTGACACTACCTGTAATGTAGAAATTTGTAAAACACTAACTTATACATAATTGAGTTTAACAGGTGATGAACACAATCTAAAACTTTACCAGTATGTAAATTTAAACTTATCTTCACCTATCAGGGCTCTGGCAAAGACCATCTGACCTTCATATATATTCAGGCCTGATATAGAACTTATAGGCCTTCTTGGGGATTTAAATAAGAAGTCAGTCTAAGCTCTTGTATTGACAGAATATACCTGGTGGTTTGCTGTTCTGTGCCAGAGCATCAAATCCATGGAGGCTCCAGTGGTTGATGGGCACTGTGCCACTGCTGGATTGGACCCTGTGATTGTAGGCCAACTATTGCAGATCATTGCAAATTTGGAGAGGTTTTGGATAGAGCATAGCTATTATGATTATGAGGACCAGGTTTAAATGCCAGTTCATTTTAATTTGCATTGTTTATGTAAGCTATAATTGAACCAGCAGCTAGAACTTCATTATGTATTTCAGTCTCAAGGATTATAATAATTTATCCACCTGTTAAACATTAAAAAGAATCATAAAGTCAGGCTTGCTTGTGGTATGCGTGTGTTCATGTTGCACTAATGTCACATAATAATATTAGTAAAGTATATATATAAGTATTAAAAGAAATATATATTAGTCTTAATGGCATTGTGTATTATTACAATTGATGATATTGATACATGCTATTAGTATTGATGATGATAATAATTCTCATTAAAGTTAGAAATAACCAACCTCATGTTAGCATTAGTAATAGTATAGTATATTATCATCATAAAGAATTTCTTTAATGATAGATATTAAGAATACAGCTGTTACTTCTAATGATGTACTAGCAGTTACTGACTATGGCTTTCCTCATAAAGAAAAAATAAAATCTTGGGAAATCTAGATATTAATATTGAGTATATACACTAGTAACAAATAGGTAACTATAATAGATATTAATAGAATTGATGAATTAACCAAAACTTGTTTAAATTGGGCAAACAGACTAAACAAACTGATACAATGAAAATGTTATAATTAAAGATCTGAACCTTGAACTAAATCAGATGTTCAGTGCTGTTTGTCAGTACAATTAATAGCCTGGTTCATCTTATTTGGTCAATTTTCTGTTTTTGTTGCTTGGACCTTTGCAATCTTGAGCATACTGAAGTAGGGGGTAAGGGATCATTATTTATTTTTTTTTAAACTTTTATTGTTTAAACCGTTTTTAATAAATTGTAAGTAAAAACCATCTAGATGTAGTTTATTGCTTATTGGTATTTTATATTTATAGACCTGTTTATTGCTCTCAACTTTTATTATTTTGATGACGTCATATTTTCTTGTGGAGACGAAATTACTGGTGTTATAAAACAAGTTACTGGTTTATATCAGTATGGACCTTTATTTTTCAATATATATATATTATATTTTTTTTCTAAATTTGGTATAGTTTTTAATGCAGGCATAATGTATGTATATACTAGTTGTTAATGTGAATTAGAAATATTTTTGCTTGTTTAACATGGTTTAGTGTTGGAATATTGTTAGGTTTATCTGTTAAGAAGTCTAAAATAAGAAAGAAGAAGAAGGCTTATGTGTTGTCTTTTTTTTAGGCAAC